TCCGCCCTATCCTGTACCATACTCACCTTCTCTGACATACTTATTGTTGCAGTCACTGTGTCAATCCATCTGGCTGAGGGTCTTCCTCTCTTTCACTGACCCTCCACTTTCCCAAGCATGATGTTCCTCTCTAAGGAATAGCCTCTCTTAGCAACATGCCCAAAGTCTGTGCCATGAAGTTTTGTCGTCTTTACCTTCAAAGAACACTCCAGCTGCACTTTTTCTAAGATCTATCTTTGGGCAGTCCACGGGATGTTCAGTGCTCTTTTCCAGCATCACAATCAAAGGCATCAATTCATCTGTCATCCTCCTTCATTGTCCAGCTCTCTGATGTGCAGTAGGTGGCTGACCATGGCCAGGTGCCAAACAAAAGGATGCTTATTACACTAGTCAATCGTGGTTTATAAAATTGTCTAATTGGGGTCAAGGGAGTGTCCATTTTCCAATTCATTAACCTTTGTTCTTTAGCTGGAAGGATCCTTAGGGCATTTCAGATGTGGCCCAACTGGGCCTTTACCCAACTCCTTAGTAAAAAAGAGATCTCTCCTCAGGGAGGGATCTGGCATAAGGAAGAGAACACTTAGGGACAGCCAGCTAATTGGGAAATGTTGACAAGGGCTTTGAAATGCCCTGTTTACTTATGGGGGAGGGCAGAGAGCTGGTGGGAAATAGGACTAGGCGCAGGTGTTGTAAAGGTCAGGCCAGCTCCAGACCCCTCAGGTACCTGAGCACCCTGCAAAGCTTGTTTCATTCCCCTTTGGTGTCAGGCGGCGTCCTGAGTACTTGGTTGGTCACTGATCCTTTTATCTTCCATAGGCTAACTCCTCTCAAGATCCTTTTTGGTCCCTGTGCCCCAGATTGTCTGCACAGCTCTACTTCATGCCCCACTGTCCTCAAGATTCTGAAGGAGACTGGGGTCATCGGGATGGTCTGTGCAGATGGAACTGCCAGCGCCAGGACCCTGCAGGGTCTGGAAGCAAGCCCTGGCCCCTCCCTCTGACAGGCTTGTTATTTAGGTTGTTTTGCTCAGCAGGATGATCACGGGGCCTCATTTCCTGCCAGCTGCCCCCATCAGCTCTGAGCCCCCTGGGACACAGGCAGACGCAAGCAGGTGGTCGGAGTGAAGAAACTGAAATTTAGAAAAGGGATGGGCTGGTGTTCTAGCCACCCGAGCCAAGAAATTGGTCTAAAACTGATGTTGGCCAAGTCCCTACTCACAGCAGTCTGCTTTAGGACTAATTTGTAAAAGAAAGCTGCGAATCTGGCATGAGCAATGGGCAGTTACACAAGCGCTGTTTTAGGCTGAACAGTTCTGAGATGAGCCCAGTGGCCACACCTTGGACTGCAGTGATGTGTGGAGTGCACTGAGGCAGGAGCAAGACTGCCCCACAGAGTCAGGTGGTCAGTCCCAGCCATGGGCAGGCACTGCGGGCCACAGAAAACAGTAGAATCACAAGGCTAGGCCCTTCGTGGCAAGGCAAAGGGCTTTTGGCGGCTTTGAGGGTGTAACAAGGATTAAGATAGCTAAGGTTACAGGCCCTGCCTGCTGAGCTGCCACTCATCTGTGAGTATGGAGCAGCCCATCTGGGTAAGGGACCTCACAGAGTGGTACTTTAAAGTGCCTTCGAGTTCTCCCAGGCACCTGTACCCAGCACCTGTACCCGCAGTCCCTCTAAGTGTGGGATCGCACCTAAGGCAAGTGCTACAAGCTCAAGTGTTCCTATGATCAGTCCTTCAGTTAGGATGAAGCTCCTGGGACTGCAAAAGAATAAACTGAGTCCTGTGGAGATTATTGTCAGTTCTCAGTGCAGTGAAGAGCTGAAGAGAAGGACATCTGTTTTCTTCCCCACTCTCACCTGTCCACTGCAATGGCACAGTCTAAACACTTGACAGCCTCTCTCATCACTGATGGCTGCACATGCACCCCTAAGTCAGACAACCTGTTCTTCCCATATACTTTGGCCACACGTGAACACTCCCCATGCCTGAAATCATCCTCTGCTGCACAGCTTTCAGGCCTCTGCTCTGGCTCCTTCTTGCATCCACGGTGCCCTCCTTATTCTATCAAAACTCAACTTGCCCTTAAAGACCCACCTCAGCCAGCTAAAAACCCTTTTGAGAATTTGAGTTCTTGTTCCTTAAGTTTTCAGAGTACTTTGTGTTAATTCCAAAGCTCTTCCCACAGACAGATCTTATTTCTGACTGCTCCTTCCCTTTGGGCAAGTTTTCAGGAGAGGCTAGTCCCTGGAGAAGGACATCAGGCTTGGGAGAGTAAGAAAGAGGAAGGTCTTCAATGAGATGGACTGACACGGTGCCAACAATGGGCCCAAACACAGCAATGACTATGAGGAGGTGCAGGCTGCTATGCACCGGGTCTATCCACTCAGTGCCCTAGGAGGGGTGTGAACCTGTATTCTCCTGGTATTATTAGTTCACACAAAACAGCCTTTCCCTACTACCTCCCGCAACAGCAAACACTGTGCGATTGCAGCAAGATCTGTTGATGCAGTACCTTAAGCACTTGACTGTAAATAGAAATGTGGGCGGTTTGAACCCACTCAACTCTGCTGTTGCTGGGTGCCACTGAGTAGATGCCCACTCGTAGTGATGCCACGTGACAGGCAGAACTGCTCCTAGTGTTTTCTAGGTTGAGATCTTTACAGGGTTCAGGCCTTTTCTTCTGTGGAGCTGCTGTATGGGTCTGAACCACAAACCTTTCTGTTAGCAGCCCAGCCGCTTAATCTTTGTGTCATCAGGGCATAAAGATTGCAGCATAAAAAAACCCATTTGGGGCAGTTCTACTTTATTATATGGGGTTGTTATTGGGCTTACTGGCATCCAACAAGAACAACAATGTGCTGGTCCAATCAGGGCTTCCAAGAGATTCATTCTGGTTGATCTGACAGTTGAGGGTTGAGCCAGAATGAAAGGGTTCAAAGCCTTTTCAGAAACCTGTTCATCAAGACAACCACATGCAAGCTTCCACTGACTGGGTGGTGGCTGCACTTGAGGAGCTCTGGCCAGGAACGGAACCCAGGTCTCCCACACTGAAGATGGGACCTTGACTGCTGAACCACCACTTCCCCCTTTTAAGAAAGACGCTAAACAATAACAACTATTTATCATTTATACTGCATTCTCACATACATTATTTCATTCGATCCTCACAACAGCCCTGTGAGGTAGGTAGGGTTATGTATTATTGTTATGCCCATTTCACGGATGAAGAAACTGAGGTGGCTCAGTGATGCGAGTGACTTGTATAAAGTCACACATTATGTTAGTGGCTTCACAAGTCTTGTACTTTCTCTAAGGTCAAGCTGCTTGAATTAGGAAGCACCGAAAAGATGGACGAGGAGAGGCTTTAATGGAGAGAAAGAAAGGACAGCTGTGATAGTTCTTCCCAGCTCTGCTTGGTTATCATTATGGCTTATGTGGTTTGGTCAAAATTGGGTTCTTCTGAGGGGCTTCCCTGAGTACTGTCAGCCTGGTGACCTCGACACCTGTCCCAGAGACCTTCGGACCCCAGTGAACTGGGGAAAGGTCTTTATTGCCTAAGAGACTCAGCCTTCCCCACGGCCCAGCACACCACCTCTCCACTCAAGGAGCATAGCTGTGAGAAAACCGTTGCTTGGCCCAGCTCCAAGTACTATCTCCTGAGACCTGAGTCACCGAGCTCCCCTGGCTTTGGCTGAGGAACTCCCTGCCTGCTGCAGTAGAGAAGACTCTCCAGGCATCCCCAAGGCCATGCTTGCTTCAAGGATGAATCATATGGTGTGAATTTGAGGCCTACATGGCTTAGCATTCTCTAGGAAGTAGCAGTGTGGGGTTTCTTGCTCTGGATTTCATCCCAAGGAAATTGGTTAGTTATTCCAAGAAACAGTAATGCAGGGAAGGCTACCTCCTCGACCACTCTTGGGCTCCAAGCTCAAGTGCCTCCCGGGACCCTGATCTTTCTCCATTGGATCTTCTCAATGTTTATCCTCCAACAGAAAATACTCAAATAATGTGTCCGGTGTAGAAGGTGAGGGAAGTGGAGATTACAAATGAAGTAAAACTATGACAAAGTGGGGGGTTATAGACGGTGGAATGGAGCTTGGTTTTGAAGACATAGCTCAAAGGAGAAGTAATTCTGAGTTAATAGTTGTCTGGTCTCAAGATGCCTCTATTTTAAAGGAGAAGACATACATCCTGGTGTGAAGAAAGGCCTGGAACCAAGATCAGCAAATGCAAGAGGACTTTCTAACAGAAAAGTGGTGTCCAACCATGGCATGGCCTGTCCTGGGGATGTCCTTTGGTGTCCCAGAGGCACACAAGCAAGGCCAGGTTGGGAGGTCCTTAGGGAGAGGTGATCCTCAGGTGGTGCCCATCAGTGTGCTGGGGGTGAGTGAGGACTAAGTGGCCTTTGAATTCTTTTCCAACCCTGAGATTCCATAATGTATTTGTTAAAAATTACTTGTTTCAATCATATATCACATTTTGGGGGGAGGAAAGATTAAAAAAAGTAATATGAAGTGCCTTTCATTGAACTGACTCTAGATACTAGTAGATCTTTACATGCACAGGAGCTCATTTGAAGCCAGATATCCTAAATGCCTTGATCTGGCCCAGTTAAGAGGAACAACCCCACCTTCTGACCCTGCTTGGTGCTTGGTCCTCTAGGCCACACCACAGCTCAAATACCTCCCCCACAGGGACCATGAGAAGGCTTTTCCAAGGAATCAAACATGGTTGTTCTCTGGAAAAACAAGTCCAAGGTCCTGGATGCAGCCCGGGGATGGAGGAGTGGGTGTAGTGGGAATCTCTGGGCGCTTGGTCTGGGAAATGTAAGTGACCTTGCTGTCACTTGATCCCCTCTGCCAGGGGCTCTCTTTATAGACTGGTAAGTGAGGCACTGACTAATGTTCCAGAGAATATGGAAACCATGAAAACACTGCTGTTTCCCTGTTTCAGTCAGAACATCCATAAGGCCTCCCTTGTATGGGTAGTTGACTTTTCACTGTAATAATAAACTATCCATCTCCAGCTTAAAACAGCAAGATTTTTTTTTCTTTCTGCTGAGAGGACATATGGATTCCAAAAGATGGACTACACCAAGAGGAGAATCAAATCCTGCTATGTGATTAATACTTATTAGTCTAGTACCCTGCCTCATACCATTGGCAAGACTGAAATCTTGGTTGCCTTGTAACTTCTTAGGACCCCACCCATCAGTGTTGCTACAATCCTTTTACCTATACCGTATTAATCGGATAATCTTATTGTTCATAAAATCCAGAGCATGTGGGTGAGAAGAATCAACGCAGAAGCCGTCACTCAGAGCGATTTTCAGCACCTCCTCAACGAAGACCTGGAAGCTGTTAATCTGCTTGTTGGCAGGCACCACCCAGAGCCTCTTGAGGTTCTGCTTGGTGTATTCCTCTTCTGGCAGGCCTTCCACGTTGGCCACCCAGTCCAGAGTCAGGTGGTTAGGGTCCTGCAAGTGGCTGGTGATGGAGGAGAGATTGCCATTGGAGCAGTAGAAGAGCTTGGAGCCAAGGAGCTTGAGGAAGAGGCAGGAGGTGCTGAAGATGTTGGCATTGAAGACCTCCATGCTGGAGGAGGAGAGGCTGTAGATCTGGGGTGCCTCGCGTACAGTGAAGTGCACTGTCTGCACACGCTGATTCAGAGTGATGTTGAGCATGGCATTCTTCTCTGCCTTGGAGAGCTCCACTTCCTTCTCCTGCAGGGCCTCAATCAGGGGCTGTACCTGGTAGAAGTCGGCCTCTCGTCGGAGCAGGCCCATCTCCTGGAAGTCTTCTGGCAAATCCAGGTGGGAGGTCCGCAGGAAGTTGAGGATGTAGCGGAACACCTTACCATCCCGGTCAATGAAGCAGTTGCCCTGGCTGTCCCTCTTAGTGGGCATCTTCCCGCTGAACATGGCGCCCAGCATAGAGTCAGGGAAGGTGGTCAAGGTGGCCAGGGAGGTCGTGTACAGCTTGCCCCCGACGTTCAGAGTGATGGGGTCAGACATGGCAGGAGGTTGGGGTGCTGGGAAGTAGTCCTAAAAAGGGAGGAAAGTGAGGGATGACCATTACCCCATCACATCTGGGCACCGTTCTCAACTCTTGATTGTAATCTCCTATACTCTTTGGGGCTGACATCCTGAATGTGCTGAATGATTGATGGGTGATAACTGCCACAATGTCTAAAGTATTTGAGATTCACTTAGGGAATAAGAAAAACAAAACAAACAACCCCCCTGAGAGTCCCCAGAAATGAAGCTTTAGTCCCATCCTCAGTAGCTTCCATAAAAAGATCCCATCTAATTGGCCCAGAATGGAATGTGGCCACAGCACTGACATTTTTTAGCAGCCTCCTTGGTGAGCCTAAGTGTTTAGAGAGAATAGGAAACCACTGGTCTAAAGGAAGAAACAAAAGGCGCCAAGTTGAACGTTTCTGTACATGCTTTCATGTATAGTATTTGCTTATGTAACAGGCACATCAGTTTCCCACTAAACAATCCATCATCCACTCTGGTTGTAAGATGAGAAAACTGTGCCAGGCTTCATTTTTTTAGACTCAGAGAGATGAAGTGCCTTAGCAGGATCCAAACCCCAGCCCTTTTACATGGAGGGGAAATGTGTAAATGTTTACTGGCAATGACCGGTATGCTCAAAGTACTTCTGGGATTTGTTTATGACTCCAAGCCCAGTGCCTGCATTAATGTTATCTCTGAATCTAATTCTTCTCCTATCTCAAAGAATTAAATGACTCTGGTGGCAGTTCATCTAGCTGCCAGGCCCACCATGGCCACTCAGCTCTGATTCTCATTTGAAAAATCTCTGGACTCTTATTCCTCCCATCTCAACCTATCTTGCCATGAAGATGCTCTTGGCCTGCCCTTTACTTTACCCCACCTTTTCTAAGCCTGGTGAAGCATCACTGGTTTTTCTTGAGAGCTCTACACCCTCTCTTTCACACATGCCCCACACTGATATCACAGTCTCTAGGCCCCAGGGCTGGTGAGTCTCCTTCAATATAAGGTGCCAATTCTAATTTTTCTATTACTGTATATTTCTTTTTGCCTATATGTACACATACGCAGGCACAAAACACTTGCCATTTCAACCTCTATATGTACAATTCCGTGATACTAATACCAATCCTAACCATTACCCATTTCTAAGTATTTCATCAGCCTTAACAGAAATTCACTACCCGTTAAACAATATCTTCTTCCCCTTCTTGCGTGTCCTTAATAAACCTTGGTCTCTATCCATCTGCCTATTCTAGATATAAGTGAACCACATAATATCTGTCCTTTTGAATCTGACTTATTTCACTTAGCATAATATGACAGGGTTCATCAATGTGACAGTATGGATTTCAACTTAACTTCTTGTGGCTGATCTAACTTCTCTTTAAGAGTCTAAAGCACATACTTACACATACTCATTACCTTTAAATCAGAACTGACCAATAGTTGACCCTCCAATGGGGTTTCCAAGACTGTAAATAGCACAGGAGATGGCTCATTTTTTTTTCTCCCACAGAGCTGTTAGTGGATTCAAGTCACCAGAGAGGTGACATCTTTAAGTTAGCAACATGAGGCTACCCCTCTCAACTTCCATCCCGGTATTTGTCAGAGCTGACATTAGAATGGACTTGGCAACTATTTCCTGATCATGGAAATGATGGTGCTAGAACACTAGAGAGACTAAAATCGCCGACATCTGATGCTAAAGTATGTGGTAGATAAGAAATCCCACTCCATACTCCACCTGGAGTCTGTGGAAATGTTTCTCTTCCTGTTCCATGTAGATGCCCACTCAATTCTCTCTCTCATCTCTAGCCACCCAGGGTAAGGTCATTGGGTAACAACTACAAAACTTGAGACTCCACATGACACCTTCAATTTCAGACCAGCCAGCCCAGAATCTGGACTTTCCTTCTACCCTTTCAGGGTAGCAGCTGATAACCCTTGTGTCCACATGACTCCAGGCATTTCACAGTGGCTAGGTCCTCCCTCCTTTAAGTAATTCACTTAGAGCACGCAGGAAGCGGCATGTACCTGCAATACAGCTTTAATATGACAAAAAAAATCGTACAAATGAAGACACACATAGGGAGAGGTCTGAGGAGGGGTCCTAGCAGGGAGCTTCTGCATCCCAAACAGGGACATTCTCCTGTGGCTGTTACTCATGAGCAAACACCCTAAGTCTACATCTTCCTGTCACTCTATCACCTCACTGTATGGCCCTGATAAATTACCTCATGCCCCTTGAAGGCTGAAGTCAACACTGGACTCCTCGATTGTCTCTCCTGGTGGAAGCTGTTCCCTTGTCACTTGCCTTGGCTACCAAGAACCAAGACCAAAGGCCAGACAGCTTTCTACAAGATGTAAAAGGAAAGGAATAAGCCTACTGCTGCCGTAGAGAAGAGCTCTGGCTGGGGGAGCTGGAGACAAGGCAGTGTGGGTAAGTGACAGAATAGATGTAGAAAGAGCTTATAAAAGTAGGTTGAAATGAATCCTCGGATGTTAAAAAAAAAATCCAAACATCTGGCTGAGAGCTTACAATGCAGATGGTAAACAAAGGTCTGAAAGGACATCCCCAAAGTCATTCAGTAGGCATGGCCACTTTGGAAAAGGCCCAAGGGCTTCTTAGCACACACCAGCCTTCCAAAGTGGCTGCCTGAATAAGACCTCATTTCTCCAAAGGATGGAGACCATGAGGGATGCCAGAGATGTTCAGCTGCCCCACTCAATTCTTAGAAAGCTCCTCATGGCTCCCTCCTGGCCTAACGTGGCACTCTGATATTTCAGAAAGGCATTTATTACCTGGCAGGTCTGAAGAGAGATACAGCCATGATGAAGCTACAAAATTATCATCAGAATCCCAGAGCAGATGTGCCAAGAGGCAACACAGAGGTCCTAAAGTGGGGTGGGTTGAGCCACTGGTGGAAGGGGTTGCTGCTGGTGTGAGGACCAGCTTTGAGAAGCAGCAGCTGGGGAAGGTGCTTGGGAGTCTGGGCCAAACATGGCCAATTCTCTTCCAGAGGGCATGGGCAAAAGCTGGCCCAGGAGTGGACCATCCTCCTTCCCATTCCTAGAATCTTCTCTTCCTTCCTGGTCCTCACTACCATCTTCTCAGAACTCCAGCTTTCTCCAGCTCCTTTTATTTAAAGATGACAATTCGTTTATTCTAGATTTCAATTAGCTTGTTCTAGTCTTCAATCTCATTTTCTTCTTGGAAAAAATACGGGGTTTAAGACCAAGGCTTGAAAAGTGCCTTAGCTTTTTGGAAGAAGTAGTCAAGGTATCAAAGAGGCTGTGTTGTCGTTCCTGCAGAGCTCCGTAGGCTAAGCCTCATGTTTCCCTCCAGACATTAGTGATGATGTTCTAAGAGTCCACTGGGTAGGGAGCAGGTAGAAGCAGTTGCAGGAGAGACCTGAGGGTCCCTGGATAGATAACCAAACTCCTGTTTATCTACTTGTAAAACATGCAGCATACCTGCCTTCCTGAGCCAACCATCTATACAGTAGCCAAGGAGTCATCCTGGTCATTTGTCCAGGCCAGGCATCCCAAAGTCACACCGCCCATCGGGAAGACAGCCTGAGTCAGAACACAAGTCCCTTGGTCCCTGGTCTGGGCTTCACTCTCTGGGACTTCTTCTCATATCCACTGAATGACAGGGCTCAATTCCTCAAATTTCTGTCATGGTGCCAACATCACAAATCTAAAGATTTTGTTATAAAGGGGGTCAAGATCCAGGCGTCTTAGGGTGGTGGCAGAACTACTACCTCTTGGGGAGGAACTACGTGAGAATGGAAGAAGATTTATGGTCAGGTGGTGATGAACTGACGGAGCTGGAGGTTCTGGTGTGCACCCAGCTGACTCCCGGACAGCTCACAGGTACTCGAAGCATAAGAGGGAATCCCACCACCTCTCTTAACCCTGCTGCAGACTCATCTCAGCCACCCAAATGCCTATGGCTAAGACCTGGGAGTGGCTCTGATTTTCAACTCAGAAACTATTCTTGACCTGTCTCCTTGACCTCATCTTGGCTCTCTCTCGATCCTTAATTAGCTCTGTAACTTCTGTCCATCTTTCATTTTGGTCCAGAGTGAGCTTCCTGAAATGCAATTTCCAGGTGACTTCTCTGCTGAACTCACTTTGCTCTTCCACCCTAACCTCTGATGCCTCTTTGGCATACCTTATTGGTGCTCCATAGGGTCTTCAGAGGCCTGTTATTTCAGAAGTAGATGGCCAATCAATCCTTCTTCCTAGTATATCTTTATTTGAGCACTCAACTAAAAACTGTCCACCACAGGCCACCCGTCTGGCATATGAAATACCAGTGGCACAGTTTTTAGCATCACGGCAACCCACAAGTACAGCAAACTGATACACAAGTGTTGCACTAATTAGAACACTAATAAACAAGCAAGAATAAAAACATCCTAGCTACAAAGTAATTAGCAATATGTAAATCAATACATGTGCGTTTACATGGTGACTGCAACAACTGGCTTGAGTGTGTCAGAGAATGTGGGGATGGCACGGGAAAGGACGGGGTTCAGATCAGTGGTTCTTAGGGTCACTATGAGTCATACTTGTTTTGATGGCACCTAATAAAAGCAACACCACCACCACCACTGGTGCTCCAAGAAGCACTGAATAGACATCACACTCTGTCACCTTATTTTCCTTACCTTTCCTAGGTTTAAGTCTCTTTGCCTCTCTTTTCATCTTCTCTGCTGTCAACCTTCACCTGTATCTTGCATCATATATGACAATTAACTCAAAATAGATCAGAGACCTAAATGTAAAACCTAAATCTATAAAACTTCTAGGAGAAAATCTTTGTGACTGTGTTAGGCAAACAACTTTTTTTCTTCTTCTTCTTTGATAACACTTGATAGGACACAAAAAGTACAAACCACCAAAGAAACAAAAATTGATAAAATGACCTTCACTGAAATAAAAAATATCTCTGCCTTACAAAAGATACTATTAAGAAATGAGCAAACAAACTGTAAGGTGGGATCAAATATTTGTAA